TAATAGCAGTGATTAATTTGAGGCTTTTTGGTTATTAAAGCGCAAATATGTAGCCGTAAATGATTTTAATTCTACTAGTGATTTATACTTTGATTTATTCACTTTCATCTATTCACTTTCATATACTTCTATTTACATATACTTTTATTTATTCACTAGAATTTATGTATACTTTCATTTACATATACTTTCATTTATTCACTTTAATATACTTTCATTTATTCAATTTAATATTCTTTCATTCACTTTCATATACTTTCATTTATTTTAACCCCTAAATAGAGAATGTCGCTTAAGTATGGAAATGATGATGAGTTTAAGAATTCTCTTTTGGGATTAGTCATTGGTTGAGACTGGATGTGCGATGAAGGGTTGGTTTCGTAAAGCTTTGCATTAGGCTTTTTTCATTTTGGTTGACATGTGCAAAAAGGAATGGGAAGCCTACTAGGTTTTGGCTCGCAATGAAGATTTTAGAAACATTTTCCTGCTAGATTGACATATTTATAAGTGCTGACGTCACATTTATAACTGATTGAAGTGGTTGAATCACATTCAGTAGGACATAAGCCTTGTATAAACAATAACCACAAATAGATTTACAAAGAATTTAGTAATATATTTGCATAAACATACGAACTACCATGTACGTAACGTGTAAACCTTATGAACTAGGCCTTGGAGTATCACCCTTGTAAAGTGTGTCTAAGTAAGGATATGGTTTACCCTGACTCTGTTGGGTGTGAAAACCAGTCGCTGCATATCCAAATGGATATACGAGAGATCTATTTGTGAACGAGTCATCCTGGGTGGACCCATATGAAAACTGGGTAATATTGAGAGTGTCAAGGCTCTCGTGCGCATGAGACGAGGTAGGCGTGCAATGTGAAGCAGAATGACCCTGAAATGCTCGTACTCGTCGCCCTTCACTAATGCTTTTTAATCCTCCAGCACACATCTCTATCACCCTGTCTGCAAGAGCCGGACTAGACAAGTTGTGGTTATCGTTACAAAAGTCACGAATAACCAACAATCGCTCAATCTAGTAATAAAGAAATAATTAGGATTCTAAACATAAATAACTAATAACATACAAATGTTCGAAATAATTGAAATCATACCATAACATGCAATGGGATAGAAACTGGCTGGAAATGTGGCTCTGGCGGCACAAATGATGGGCTCATGTATTGCCGCGTAATACTACGAAACCATACAAGGTAAGGATCGTAGTACTTCATATAACCCTGAACAAGCTCTCCCCCAACGACGGGATTCAATCGTGTGACCCAAAGTTCAATCCAATGGGCATGCAACTCAACAACGCCTAGAATGGTCTACAGCAACCCAAACTGTCTTATAAGGCCCTGTTCACTTCACCTTAAAAAAATAATATTAAGTAAAAATAATTTCAGTTCAATAAAAATCAGTTTTAATCAGTAAAAATAATTTAAGTTCAGTAAAAATAAGTTCAGTTCAGCAAAAATAATTTCAGTTCAGTAAAAATAATTTAAGCTCAGCAATAATAATTTCAGCAAAATTAATTTAAGTTCATGTACTTTAATGCTTTTTTATACTAGGCTTTTTTATGTAAATTATTTTTTCCATATATTGCAAAATATTGTCGTACAAGATTTTTTAATACTTCACATATATTTTTTTTATGCATCACTTTTGTCTATACTTTTATCACATATTGTATAGTTATAAAATGTAATATCTTTTTTTTTTTTGTCAGGTATAAAATATTATGTCTTATTGATAATATTGTAGTCGGTGATATTTGGTAAATACAAGTACTATATTTTATAAAAAGGTAACAAAATTCATCGTAATAGCATACCTAATCAATTACAATAAATTCAATAAGATATTGAAATATGATATTCATATATGATTATATATGCATGATCTATACAATACTACCAATATGTCGTTATATTTTTTTTTGCTTAAATATCACATGCCTTGATATGATCAATCAATCTACCAATATTTGCTATAATTATTTGTAAATTACATGCAGTTAACCAACATATACGTAGTAAAAAATTGACTGAAAATTCAAACCAAAAATTTAATTAACAATATTTTTTTCATGCATGTCATAAATTGTGCTAAAGTCTTTTGGTTTGAGATCGTTAACTCCAACTTTCTGCTTTAGAAACTATTTTAACGATCAACTATATATTTTAATAGTCTCATATAATCATATATATATATATATATATATATATATATATATATATATATATATATATATATATATATATATATATATATATATCTTAATGGTGTCAGTGTGTTTGACTTTTATTTAATAAATTGTAGAATGTTTTATTTTATGTTCAACAAATGTAATTAATTATTTGCATAAAAAAAACAAATGTAATTAACTATTAAACAGAAATATAAATTTTTGTTTAAAAAGGATTGTTTAAGATATTTATTTTTTTTGAAAGTAAATTCCTAAATTGAGTACATATATATGGTTAGCACGCATATTGTGTGTAAGATTTTACAATATTGTACAATTTTTTTTTTTGGAAAAATAAATATCATAAATTATATGTCAAAGTATCTTTATAGTACTCTATAGTGCCTATAAAAATCTCTTTTTCATAGCTCTAGTTCATCCAAGTCGAGCTTGTAGCTTTCAAATCTTCATGGGTTCGAGAACCAAATTCACCGATGACACTATTAAAAAAAATTTGGAGATTCTTCTCCAACACAAATTAGATGGAAACTCAAAGTTAGATTGGGAAAAAATTGTGCGTAATTTGAATGCGCAAACTGGACAAATTTTTTCTGAGAAATCTCTGCAAAATCATTTTGCAGATTTGAAAGGAAAATATATAGCTTGGTATGAATTGAAGACGGGTGCTGGTTGGACAGGTCTTGCTTTTGATGCAGTTACTGGCTGCCCTCTCATCAAACAAGATGATAGGTGGGCTGCATTTGTTAAGGTATTAAACTTTGTTTTCTGTCATCTATTATTCAAATTATGTTAATGATGTATGGTAGTAATTTTAGTTACCGTAATTACTTTGTTATACAGAAACATAAAGGAAGACCCATACAATTCTTGAAGAGGCCATTAGCTAATGAAGATCTGCTGCATGCTTATTTTAAGGGCACTTTTGCAACCAATAAATTGGCTATCTTTCCATCAATGGCAAAAATGCATCACTATTTTCCGATTATGAAGATCAAGAACCCACAGGAGACAATGATGATGAGCAAGATGATCCTTTAAATTTAACCCCCGAGGATAACAATGTAGATCATGAGAATGATTCTTCTAGAATATCACCTCCTCTAGGAAAGCGTAAGAGTTTGGGGGAAACTAGTAAAATTAATAAAAAGAGGATGAGTGACATTGACAAGTGTATAGAGCTTGTGAAGTCAACTATTCAGGCTGAGTCATCAAAGGTACATAGTAATCCAGTACAAGAAAAGTTCAATCTTCTTGCTGCAACTCTTAAAGAGATTCCTCAAATGAAAGATTACAGTGATTCTTTTTATATCCATGTTTTGGAGTACTTAACTAACGATCACAATAGGGAATTTTTCATGGCACTTACTACTAATCATCAGAAATTGTTTTGGTTGAAGTCAAGGGGTATAGCTTTTCCTGGAGACTATTATACTCCCCAATTAGATAATGAAATAAATGACTTGGACTTGTCATAAGTAGTAAAAACTAATGTGCTGGAGATTATTATGATGAAATAAATGAGTGTTTATTTTAATAAAAACTTTGGTCCTTCGTTATAATATGAATAAAATAATTTCATTTTATTTCTTTTGACGTTGTATGTTTATTATTATTATTATTATTATTATTATTATTATTATTATTATTATTATTTTACTATTATAGATTTTGTATGGTGTAAATCATGCATGCTCCGGTTTATGTACAAGCTCCTTTGATTATAAAAGGAATAGGTAACAACAGAATGAAATTACACGTTTTTGAAGATTCACGGTTTATTACAGATCGAATTCCTCATTAAAGTAGTATCAGCATTCGGCTAGTTTGTACAGAGTCATCAATTGATGAGATGATACTGACTTTGTAATTAAATTTTCATGAAACATCCCTTTGTAATGAATTGATGAGATAATGCATGCACCTAAAGGCTGTAATAACTTATAAGTGGTTATTATTATCAATGATTAGAGCTGAATTGTATGCTGGTGGGGATGCATTTCCTTGTACGTTGACATATGAAAATCCATGCAAAATTGTACACAAATGTCATTATACCTGAGATGACCTTATACAAAACAAGCCTTAAGGGTTTAATTTTACAATAAAAATAACAATCATTTAAGTATCCTATTCGCAAGGGATGGGGCATTTGTACATGTCTGATCACTAATCAATGAAACAAAATATTAACATTCCTAAATACAACATATATTTAACTTTTCTCAAAAAAAAACTACATATATTTAATAATATCTTATTGATAAAAATTGTAGTTCGTTATTTTTGGTAAATACTATATTTTTGGTAAATACTTTGTTAGTTTTACCATATATGTATTTGAGGAAAACTTTATTTGTTAAAAAAGAAATATGAGGAAAACGTTATATACGCCACTCTTTTTTTTTGACAAGTTATTATATGCAATTTTTTTTTTTGGTAAATATATATGATATATACGAGATATTGAAAAAGATATGGGAAAATCAATCTCTTTCCTTTGCGTTCTTTGTCCTTCGTATATATGGTAAAACAAATAATACTCTTGTATTGCATGTAGTTTTAATTGCTTATATATATATATATATACATATATATATATATATATATATATATATATATATATATATCTATATACTACTTGGGTGGGACGAATTGGACAATCATAAAAATATACAATACTTTTTGTAACCATCTACATATTGAAGGTTATACGTTAATATTTTTTTTATATTTTTTTTGTTTAAATTTGATATCTCGCTTCTTGTTGTTGCTTTTATATTGTAGAATGGACAATGAGTTGCTTCAGAAATGCATACTGTTTTTGGTACTATATGAATTGTCGAGACTCCTTACCCCAATTCATCGCTTACCTTTAAGGATCGGGGGTGAAAGTGGATCAGCATATATAACAAGGTTGTTAACAGTTCATCCTGGTTTGTTTAAAGAGCAACTAAGATTAGATAGGGATATGTTTGTGCAACTAGTCCAATTGATGATAGAAAAAAAATTATTATCGGACGGAAGGTTTGTAAAAGTGGTTGAACAAGTAGGAATTGGTCTATTTATATCGGCAAGAGGGGCATCTCAACGCCAAGCTGCTGACACATTTAAGCACTCAATATCCACAATTAGCAAATATTTCAGAAGGGTGTTGCAAGCATTGACAAGATTGTCATGTGATTTAATTCGTCCTTACCAAGATTTGGCCGATACACCACCAGAAGTACAAGAAAACTCATTATATTGGCCTTTTTTTTAAGGTTAGTATGTTATTTAATTTTCATATAAATGCATTTATAAAAGCATAATTTAATAATAAAAAAATTAATTTTTTCATGTGTTAGGATTGTGTTGGTGCTTTAGATGGAACTCATATTAGTGCAGTTGTGTCCGATGGTGATGGTCAACCGTTTCGAGGACGTAAAGGAACTAAAACTTGGAATGTACTAGCCTCATGCTCTTTTAATAGGTTATTCACATTTGTCAATGTTGGATATCAAGGAAGTGCTCATGATATAACGGTGTGGAGAAATTGCTTAACTGATCCTAAATTCGAATTTCCACACCCTCCTCTAGGTAGGTAATTCTTTAATATTATTTTCTTTTATCAGGATAATTTATTCTAATAAAAATTTTATTTTCTTATCAGGAAAATATTATTTAGTGGATTCTGGTTATCCTAACACACTCGGTTATTTGAGTCCAATTAAAGACAAGCAGACAAGGTATCATATGCTGGAATTTCTCCACCTCGAGGAATGCTAGAACATTACAATTATCGTCATTCTTCATTGCGTACTACAATTGAAAGGTGTTTTGGCAACGTTAAGGGGCAATGGAAAATTTTGAAAAACATGCCACAAATGTCTCAAACATATCAATTATCAATCATCTTATCAACGTTTACTCTTCATAATTTTATCCGATTGTACACTTTAGGGATACCAATTTCAGAAAGGTGTGCAAATGTTGAGCCTAGAGCGGAATACTCCATATTTGATGAAGGTAGGAAAGCTCAGATGGATATAGTACAAAATCAGATAGCAGAACATATTTGGCAATCAGTTAGGGACATCGAGGAAGAAAATCATCATATGGACGTTGAATAATAAACTTAAATAGTCATATGCAATAAGAAGCAATCCTTGTAATAATTTATGATTATAATAAAGTTATGATTTTATTCTTATTATTATTAGTTTTATTGTTTTGGTATGTTTGGTTGTAAAGTTAGGCAATGAAATTAAAGGCAGTATCCCTAAACCTAATATCATATACAAGTATATCAAATACATATTCCCATAATATATAGGCCAACCATTTTTATATACGATATTATGTAAATTTAAATGGTTGGCATAATATATTATCGTTATATATACCAACTATATAAATTACAAAAATAGATTATTTTACCTAATATATCTATATATATCTATTTTGGATTGTAATTCACCCGAAGCTAGGTTTTATTTGTTTATTTTGATTTACCCGAAGCTCATTTTATATTTTTTTAATTTTTTCCATCTGAAGCAACAAAAAGCCTCAAAATGGAGTTTGGATGCCTCGATCACATTCACTTTGGCTCTTAAATTATATATATATATATATATTTCTTAAAATGAAAAGACATCTTGGCTCTTCATCTCCAAAATCCAACGGATGATATTTTACGTATATATAGTGACCATTTTTTAACTCATAGAGACCAAATAAATTTTTTCACTTATAATGACTATTTTTATTGTTATAGTGACTCTTTTTACTATTATAGTTACCCCTTTTTATTGTTATAGTAACCATTTTTCTAACGTGAAATCTCTAGTATCGGATCTTACCATTTAAAGGACCAAAATATTTTCTTATTCTTTTTATTTTAAGCACTCTTTTTATTAGATCCCTCCTCTATATCCCCTATATCGAGAGATGCCCCATGTTTTATGGAGTTCACACTCTCCCTGACCGATATACTGATATTATATTAAGCCAGGTTTATTTTATTGTATGTTATTAATATTATTCAAAAAAATTTATAACAAAATTAAACATTGATCCGTGGTATTGTATTATCATTTTTAACGCATTTTTATTTATTGTTTTAAGAGTTGTATATGTGTTTAAAGACTTATCTTTATGGTGGTGCTACATGATGCATTTTGGCTAAATGGTGCAAAAATTATACGAAATATAAGACTACGCTCTCATGTATTAAGATTTAAGAGACTCAAGTCATCATCTCTTATTTGACACATCTATTATGTTGAAGATCCTAAATAGCGGTTACATCCAACTTTTATTTTTAGAATTTTCTCAAAATCAGATTTCTCTTTTAAGTTCAGCTTTAGGATATCCCAATCTCCTTGTAGCAAACAGTTAGAAATTTACAATGTAGTTGTTGCTACAAAAGTTTTCTTCTTCCAAGCTTTTGGCTTGCACTTTGGCAACAATGGGATGTACAATTTCATGGAAAAATTCCTAATTTATATCGGGTATAAATGTGATAACTTATATCACGTTAAAAAAAAAAAAATGCTTTCATAAGATCTCATATTATTATGTCACAAGTAGGTGTTACTATGTCAAATATGTGGTATTATCTAAAATAAAAAGCAAAAGAAAAAAAATATTTTACTGGGATTTCTGATAAAGCTGTTAGTATATCATATATATGTGATATTATCTTATGTATAAAAATAAAATTACAATAATGATACTATCATGTACATAAATAACATATCAAATATATAAATAATGATTTCAGATATATAAATGAAATCATGAAAATAATCCTTGATATACGCACAGTGATTTATACTCGTATAAATTACAAAAGCTCCCAGTAATATGAATGTCATTGTTGTTGACCATCAGCGCGAGCACTTACTCGTATAACTCCGTATTTAATAACAATGGACGATGGTCACCTCAAAATGACAGTTCATGACTTTGTTTTTAAACAAAGGGTGCATTCTTTATGGTCCAATAAAAATAAGTTCTAATTAAGTTTAATACACTTTCTATTTTTTTATTATTTTCATATTTCATATTAAAAAAATTTATAAAATTCTTTTCACTTTGAATCTTCAGGCAAATTTTTGTAACCATTTAATCCTTTTTAATTACTATTTTATTCTCATCTACCTAAATTACTCTTCATTCACATACTTCTATCTCTTTCATTATTTACTCTATTTTCCCTTTCCAATTTTTTTCAATCTTTAATAATTCTATTTCGTTTTAATCATAAAACTATGATATTAAGAAATGATCTTTATATCTAGTTATTTATTTATTACGAAAAAATATAAAAACTTAATGCTTATATAAATTATCTTACTTGCTCCCCGATTCCAAATAAAAAGAAAAGAATAGGAGTATTAACATTCAATTAGGTTTAGCTAGTTCCAAAAAGTTTCAAATAAAGTTAAATCAAATACAGTCATGCTCAAACTGACACCGACAAGTGATCAACAAATGTCATATATAATAAATGAAGGTTTTTAGTCACATAAAGTTTTGTAGTGCAAAAATAAAAAAATTATAAAACTTTTAATTATTGCTCTAACTAAAAAGTGTGTACAGAAAATGTCAATTCTAAAAACTTTCCTATTCATTAACTTGGTAGAGGAAGAGTGTCATTGCCTCATTGGGCTGATTAGTGAAGCTGAGGGGTGGTATTCTAAAAAATAAAACAAAATTTATGAAGGATATTTTTGGTATTTTGATTAATAAAATACATGAGTTTTTTCGGGAGGTATCTATGATATTTAGAAAAATTCACAAGATATTCAAATATAATAAAATTCACACAATATTCCCTAGAATTGCAATATTATATTATGTCCACAAAGTATATTAACTAGAACTAGCCGACTGTGTGAATATAATATCTTATTGTTAAACCAATTAACCCAATAGTATGTTTTAACCCCTATAAACTTCTTAATAATCCATTTAATACGGAGTATCTTAAATACCCACATAATAAAAAGTCTTTTATGAGAGATTTATTAGAAATTTTTACGTTATGATTTGTCAAAAGAGAAATCCTGTATGAACTTTTTAAATCCTTTTATTTTTTCAGATATCCACATAATTAAAAGTCTTTTTTGAAAGGTTTGTTAGAAATTTTTACGCTATAATATATTAAAATAGAAATTAAGTTAGATTGAGTAATTCAATTAATTGGTTAGTTTTAAGTTAATAATAGTAAATGTCAGTAGTTCTTTAAGGGGTTTATTATTGAGAATTTTAGAGGTATATGATTAATTTTTTTCTAAAATTTGCTTTGTGAATTTTGAAAAATCTGAAGGACACCTCGTGAAAAACCATAACAACATAACAATTACATACTAATAATTCTAAATTTTATAGAGAGTACCTAACTCTAAAACGTGTTGCACCAAACCGTCTTTAAATAATGTTGTAATTTAAAGAATATTTTTGATACGGAGTATCTTGGAACGAAATACAATGGCATCTTCCTGCGACATGCTATTGGCTAAGTAATAGACAGGCTACCGTGGCTAAGTAATAACTAACCATGTGAGCATCCTCACTAATTGCCTCGGCATCCGTTACACCATTTTAATCTTTTCATAATCAGAAAGTCAACCAGTTTCCAGGTCCTATCTTACACGTGTTCACCTTATTATCCTCCAAAGAGTCAAATGATTTGTAATTTAATAACAGGGGCTCTCAATTAATTATATTCTTGTGAAATGAATACTTCACAATTTAGTTATTAACCAGATTGTCCTTGTCTTTCATATCATGTCGAGAGATGCCCCCATGTTTTATGGAGTTCTCACTCTCCCTGACTCAGTGATATATGATATTATATTAATTCAGGTTTATTTTATTGTATGTCATTAATATTATTCAACAAATTTATAACAAAATTACACATTGATCCATGGAATTGTATTATTATTTTTAACGCATCTTTATTTACTGTTTTAAGAGTTGTACATAATATGTGTATAAAAGACTTATCTTTATGGTGGTGCTGCATGATGCATTTTGGCTATATGGTGCAAATATTATACGAAATATAAGACTAAGCTTATTAAAATGTATATATGTTGAACTGAAATTATTTATAGTATATTTAACTATCACGTTGGACTTTTGTTTTCATTTTCAATAATTAGATATTAAGAGACTTATTTAATCATCTCTTATATGACACATCTATTATGTTGAAGATCCTAAATAGCGGTTACATCCAACTTTTATTTTAGACTTTTCTCAAAATCCGATTTCGCTTTTTAACTTCTGTTTTATGACATCCCAGTCTCCTTGCAGCTAGCAAACTGTTAAAATCTAGTTGTTGCTACCACAGTTTGTACCTCCAAGCTTTTGGCTTGCACTTCGGCAACAATGGCATGTACAATTTTATGGAGAAATTCCTAATTTATATTGGGTATAAATCTGATAATTATATCACATTATAAAAAACTAAAGAAAAATGCTTTAATAAGATCTAGGTGTTATTATGTAAGAAATAAGTGTGGTATTATTTCAAGAAAAAAAAAAGCAAAAGAAAAAAATAATTTACTGAGATTTCTGATAGTAGTGGTAGTAACTTAGTATTAGGGATGGCAACGGATATTGGATTCGACCCGGATCCGTGTATCCATATCCGTTTTTGCGGATACAGGTCTTCAAAAATTAGACCCGACGGATCAGAGTCGGATTCGGGTCCTGTGACTGAAAAATGGATCCGGGTACGTGTCTAACTATAATACCCGGATCCGTTACCCGTTTATTCATTTACTCATTTTTACTTGTTTGTATTGTTATTCAAAAGACATGTAAAAATTTGATTTCATTCATTTGTACTTTGTTGTTTTGTAATATTTGAGTACTTATATCAATTGTATTCAAGTATTGAACTTATGTCTAACGTTGGACTGTTGTCGTAGATGTAAAATGAAGATTTATAAATTTGAAATTATTGTCGCAAAAAAATAGACAAAATATGTAGGATCCCTTTTGGACCCAGATCCGTTGGATCTGAATTTGGATCCTTACTTTCCATACCCGTCGAATTTGGATCTGGATCCATCCTTGAAAAACAAATCTGGATTTGGATCAATAAGGATCCGATCCAAATCTTGTCCGTTGCCATCCCTAATTAGTATATCATATATAGGTGATATCAGAGGTATAGAAATATAATTACGAAAATGACCCTACTAGTAACAGAAATAACGATATAAGATATACAAATAATGATATCAGGTATATAAATAAAATTACGAAAAAATCTTTGTTATATGTGTAGTGATTTATATCCAGTATGAACTGTACATACAGCATGACTTTTGAAAAGTTAGGGGAAATGTGCTGTACATTGACAGTGGGAGTACAAAAAAGTTCTAATAAATTACACTTTTGCCATAAAAAAGCTGAAAATTTTTGGGCCATTAGATCTTTTTATCAACGGTGATAAATGATTTCTCATATTTTAAAAGTTCTCATAAGGGGAAGGTTCTCACATGATCCCTCCCATATATATAATATATATATATATATATATATATATATATATATATATATATGAAATGGGATCATGTGAGAACCCATGGCTTAGGTGAGAACCATTTTAAAATGAGAACTCATCTAACACCATTCATTTTTATTAGATGAATGGTTCAGATTTATTGTTTCATTAGTGAGAATTCACGTGGGCCACCTTCATTAATTGATTGTTTGTATTTTTTTTTTAATTTTTGTGCATTGGGACACAAAATCTGCCAAAAGCTGTCATTATTACATGCTTTTTATTATTTATTGCATTGAAACACGTTACGTTAAAATGTAGTTGAAGTGTACGTCGTTAATGATGTTTCGTAAAATATATCAAGTGTTTCAATTTATAATATTAATGTTTCATATATATTATTGCTTGTTTCATACAGTTGGGCTCTATATGAACTAGGTGTACTGTTATTTCTTATACCTTATCTGATGTTTCAAAAAATATACCTTATGTTTCATTTTATAGTGCTTATGTTCCATAAAATATATGTGTTGTTTCATATACTAATGATATTGTTTTATACATAAAAATCATTGATGTTTCATATAATATTTTATTCGAATATTATTTATATTTTTCCAGAAATTTGAACTATTGTCTCATAAATATTATACATTGTTCCATACCATATGTGTGAAATGTATCAATGACTGAAATGCATGTTCCCAAGAAAATTAAAAAGCATGTACCAATGACTGAAATGCGTGTTCCCAAGAAAATGCATGGGAAATTGATAATTAATCTCAGCCATCCATTAAGTGTAGTTGGTGTACGTTAATGATGTTTCGTAAAATATATCAAGTGTTTCAATTTATAATATTAATGTTTCATATATATTATTGCTTGTTTCATATAGTTGGGCTCTATATGAACTAGGTTTACTGTGATTTCTTATACCTTATTGATGTTTCAAAAAACATACCTTATGTTTCATTTTATACTACTAATGTTCCATAAAATATATTTATTATTTCATATACTAATGATATTGTTTTATGGGACAATAGTTCATATTTATGGAACAATATAAATAATATCCGAATGAAATATTATATTATGTATAAAACAATATCATTAGTATATGAAACAATACATATATTTTATGGAACATAAGTAGTATAAAATGAAACATAAGGTATGTTTTTTTAAACATCAATAAGGTATAAGAAATCACAGTAAACCTAGTTCATATATAGCCCAACTATATGAAACAAGCAATAATATATATGAAACATTAATATTATAAATTGAAACACTTAATATATTTTATGAAACATCATTAACGTACACTTCAACTACATTTTAACTTAACGTTGACAACACAATTCAATGTAACATTACATTTTTTTTAATTGAAACAGCGACAAGTCTTTTTGAAACAATAATAACATCTTTTGAAACATCTCAAAATTATTCCTTTAATACAATAAAATAAGTAATTAATACTGTTCCAATTGGATGATATGCCCGTTATTGTCAATACAATTTATATTGTTCCAAAAATATGAATTATTGTCCCATAAATATTATATATTGTTCCATATATAAGAACTAGTGTTCCAATTACATGATATGCCCCTAGTTTTCGAATTTTAAATATGTCGTTCCAGAATTTTCAACTATTGTACCACATACAGATTTGCTCTTTTTTTGCACTACTTCGAAAATTCTACCAAAAAAATATCAAACGAACTCCAAAAATTCAGAAATTTTGTATGCTTATTCTACACAAAAAAATAAGCAGATTCAAAAAAAGAATCGCTTCAAAAGGGTTTTTTATGAGAGAGAAATCTTCATTTGAAATCCGTCTTTCCAGATTTGCTCCTTTTTTGCACTATTTCGAAAATTCTACCCAAAAAAATATCAAACGAACTCCAAAAATTATGAAATTTTGTATGCTTATTCTACACAAAAAAATAATCAAATTAAAAAAAAATCGCTTCAAAATCTTTCTTTATGAGAGAGAAATTTTCATTTGAAATCTGCCTTCATTTCTCTCTCTTCAATGGCTAAATTAAATTGAAACCAGATTTTCCATTTTCACATATTCGGCTGTTTCTAGTTAACATACTTTGAGGACATATTATATAATATTACAATTCTAGGGAATATTGCTTGAATTTTATTAAATTTGAATATCTTGTGAAATTTTCTAAATATCATAGATACCTCTTAAAAAAACTCATATATTTATTAATCAAAATACCAACAATATCCTTCATAAAATTTGTTTTATTTTTGAGAATATCACCCTCAACTTCACCAATCAGCTCAATGACACTCTTCCTCTACCAAGTTAATGAATAGGAAAGTTTTTAGAATTGACATTTTCTGTAAACTCTTTTTGGTTACAACAATTATTAAAAGTTTTATATATGTTTTTTTATTTTTTCACAATAAAACTTTATGCGACTAAAAACCTTCATTTATTATATATGACATTTGAATGATCACTTTTCGGTGTCAGTTTGAGCATGAATGTATTTGATTTAACTTTATTTGAAACTTTTAGGAACTTGCTAAACCTAATTGAAAGTTATACTCCTACTTTTTTTCTTTTTTATTTGGAATCAGGGAACAACTAAGATAATTCATATAAGTATTAATTTTTTTTTTGTGAAAAATAAATAATTAAATATAAAGATTATTCTATAATATCATGGTTCTATACGTTAAAACATAATAAATTTAGTAAATATTGAAGAAAAAAACATTGGAAAGGGAAAATAGAATAAATGAAAGAGATAAAAGTATGTGAATGAAGAGTAATTTAGGTGAATGAGAATAAAATAGTAATTAAAAAGGATAAAATGGTTATAAAAATTTGCCTAAATATTCAAAGTGAGAAAGAAATACAGAGAGCATTAGACTTAATTAGAACTTATTTTGAGAGTGAGGGATAGCTCAGTTGGTAAGAGCTTTCCTCCCGATTCCAGGTGATCCTGGAATTGATTCTCATCCCCGCCCTAGTGGCTCATATGAACCAAAATAAATAAATAAATAAATAAATAAATAAATAGAACTTATTTTTATTGGACCATAAAGAATGCACCCTTTGTTTAAAAATAAAGTCGTGAACTGTCGTTTTGAGGTAACCATCGTACATCGATGTTATTAAATACGGAGTTATACAAGTAAGTGCCTATGCTGATGGTCAACAATAATGACATGCATATTATTGGATGCTTCTCTAATGCTGATGGTCAACAATAATGACATGCATATTATTGAATGCTTCTCTAAACAAATACAACAATTGAATCAATATAGGTTTTCTCATCTAAATTATGATCTTATGGGAGATGTTGCGTTATATGACATCCCTCACGCATATGCACCGTCCCTTTTTTTTATAAAATTTTTAATCACGTCATTCACCTCTATATAAGCATGAGTGTGTTTTAAAGTGTAACACACAGCTTACGGAAGGAAACAAACACTTTTCTTACTAGTTCATTCGATCTTTCAATCATCCAAAAGAAAGAATGGTAGGATTTCTTGACACGCTAGTATTTCTCGAGCAGGATAACAATGAGAGCCAAGATGTTGATAACTTGGTCAGTTTTGAAAAAGATTGGGATAAAAATAAGGTGATGCTGCTGTCCAACCAACCGCATCACCTTATTTCTAACATCTCCTACCGTGCGGCGAAGCCGAAGTCAGAGGAACGTGACTATAAAACGAAAAGTTTTGAACTAGCGCAGGTTGTGCGCGCCACATGCCTTGAAATCGATGAACCCAGCAGCGACTCTTACTTGAAGGATGTTTTGGGAAAATACACCAAAAAATGGCTTGAGAGGACCCACCACCATTTAGGTATTCAACTTTTCTCTCTTCTCAATTCGTTATACGGAGTACTCTGCTGTTATCTAATATCTTTATCAAATTTTCATTTATAAATTATAGTCTACAATTGTTGCACTTGAGCCGTACCATTCTTCCAAGTAAGTGAGTAACAGTTCCTAAAGATAGGAAGGGGTTACTAAAAAATAAACTAATTTTTTGTCTTTTGATTCGGAGTTGGTTGCTTTATTATTCTCTTGTTTTTTTTTATTTAATTGTAATTTTTATTTAGTAAATAGATATTCGCTTTAACAAAACCTATTATATATAAATAGATTTTATTTTATAGTGCTTTTTAAGACAAATTAAATTATATAAAATAAATTTTTTATTTTATTAGTTGCAAAAATGATTAATTTTATTTGTGCAAAACGTTTGTATTTGATTAATACCCAGTTTGTTTCTTGATTTGAGTTAATTCATTTGTTTTCTAATTTAATTTGCATTGTATACATTGTATTCCGTAGAAGAAATTGTTTCATAATGCAAGTTCAATGGTATGTGTATCTTTCTCTTATACAAATTTTTCATAGTTATCATTTTAGATGGCAAACTACGTATGTCATGTCAAGTGCCTTTCTCTTAATTAGGGTAAAAACTCCTTTTTAAATTAAGTTAAAAGAATAGATAGATGTGCCACATATATGTAACTTACGATGAAAATAACATGTGTAGCGACGCTCGATATATTTCATGTTACTTGCGTGGTGTATATTTATAAAACTCATGATTCTTTACAGATGTACAAGTTCATGTCGAACACGAGCTTGTCTTTGTTCAATTTTGCAATAGCAGATTACGTCACTGTGAACTCCTTTTGTTGATGTTCATGAATATATATATATATATATATATATATATATATATATATATATATATATATATATATATATATATATATATATATATATATATATATATATATATATATATGCATGCATGCATGATTCTAATTTAGGTGCAACACATGACGCAGGATATCCGATAAATTCGAACTTTGATTATAGTGTTCTGGGTGAACTGAATCGTTTCTCAATCAACAATGTTGGTGACCCATTTATTGAAGGCGGTTATGGTGTGCAATCCAGGGACTTTGAAATTGGTGTTTTAGATTGGTTTGCAGATCTTTGGGAGATCAAGAAAGATGAATATTGGGGATACATTACAAATGGTGGAAGTGAAGGAAACCTTCATGGCATACTTGTAGGGTACGGTTCAGCTATGCTTTTTTTTTTTTTTTTTTTTTTTTTTTTTTTTTCTCTGTTAACAATTGATCGAGGCCTTCATTTCCTTAGTTTTCAAAATCATTTACGGTTAACAATAAATTAATTTGATATGGACAAAATAATTTTTGACTGATAGAAGTCAATTTTTTTTGCTTAAATAATAAATTTACTCCCTAAGTAATAAAACTCAATAAAAACCCTAGTGAATCAAAGTTAAAGTTACGCTCTAGATTTAATTTATAAAAATAAAAACAAATTATGTTTTCTTTAATTGTAAAAATAAGTTAAAGAGATCTATTAAGGTTTTACTATCTTCATAGATAACTAATCTTATAGCGATAATTTATATTTTTTTTTTCAGGAGAGAAGTATTTCCTGAGGGAATTTTATATACTTCAAAAGAATCACACTACTCGGTCTTTAAAGCTGCATTTATCCTCCGAATGAAATGCATTCAGATCGAGACATTAACTTCCGGGGAGATTGATTGTAATGATTTAAAGAAACAGCTTCTCCAAAATAAGGATAAACCAGCCATCTTAAATATCAACATAGGTAATCTTATCACTTTACCATGCGATTAATTATTAATTGTGGTGATTGAAACTTTATTTTCTTGTTTTCTTTCTCATTTACTTTAACGTTACATATTACGTTATTTATTAGGAAAAAAGTTAGAACATGATCAATTTTGAGTCTTATTACTCTAGATAATATCACTGATGTATAGGGTCTATGCGTTTTAATGCAAGATTTTTTTATTTTCCTTTGTTAATGTGGTAAAGTCTAAGTCAAGTCTTAAGTGGAGTATTGGAAATTTAAGACCTAACTTAAGACTTGTTGGGAGAGTACGGAACCACTAAATTTCATAGACGAAAGGAATGATGTGCTAAAAGGGTCGTTTGAAGTTAGTGAAAATCTGACGTGGCATGTTTAAAAAGTTTTAAGACAAGATAGAGGTGATCACGCCAATCCATTTAAAAAAACTTTGAATTTCCGTGACCACTTTCCACCTCTCGCAAGGACAATAATAGATATAGACGAAATTCAATCTCATACACCAACCTCAAAATTTTAACCATTTCAAATAATTGTCATTAAAAAAAATGCACAACATGAACCATTAATTTCTGGAATGACATAGCAGGAGAAATCAGAGTACTTTTAACTTATACTAATAAATTATCATAATGATCTTATACTGTTTGTACCCAAATGTCATAAAAGTGACTTATATCCCCCCATATCTCCTCCTACCTACTGTCATAAACTCGTCCAAATGATGTTCATTTAGTTTTTTGCAGTTAATTAAGGTATGTAACACAATAACAAAACTTTTGAAAGTATATGTTACATTTAGAATGATGAACAATTTACATGCTTTATGCAAAATCTACATAAACAACATACATTGTTTGACTACTAAAGTAGTTTTTAATTGTCAATTTCACTGCAATATTATTCAACTTCTGAAGAGGAGTGCCAAATTACTTAATGCAATATTCATTTATTGTAGGAACTACCGTAAAGGGTGCCATTGATAATCTGGATCTCGCCATTCAAACTCTTAGAGATTGTGGCTTCTCTCGTGATCGATTTTATATCCACTGTGATGGAGCCTTATCCAGTATTATGCTTCCATTTCAGGATCAAGTTAGTATCTATCCTCGTTTCCTTAAGAAAAAGCAGCACTTTCATTTTTTCTCGAGATGCTAATCTGTAATCTGAAATCACTCATACTAGCTAATACTCTTGCCAATTTGATGCATTTCACATATTTTTTTTTTTTTTCCTTGATCACAAGCGCATAACTATTTTTATTATGATAGTATTTAGGTCTAATATATGATTAGCAAATTAAGAACTTACCCAAGAGATGAGAATAGTCCTTTTACAATCACGTCAATCAGGATCCGTTGATGGTTATTGCACCTAGGAGAGTCAAACACAAAAAGACTCCAAATGCACATCACACGGCAGTACGCTTAGCAACCATTAAGTTTGTGATGTGATGTCCTCTTTAGTCATAGGACTCGTGCAATCACTTTAGTATTGTACCATGTAGTAGCCGGTCATGATCTCAAGGAATGAATCGATATTGTCTTTGTCTTTCTTGTAAAAATAACATTTTACATTTTTCATATTCGGGCTGCTATTGTATTGTAAACAGGTGCCTCGAGTAACATTTAAAAAGTCAATAGATAGTATCAGTGTTTCAGGCCACAAATTTGTAGGATGCCCTATGCCATGTGGTATTCAGATAGCAAGAATAGAGCACATGAAGGAACTTACTAATGATCATGACTATATAGCTACAAGAGATGCTACAATAACGGGAAGCAGAAATGGCCATACACCCATCTTCTTGTGGTTTGCCTTGAACCGCAAAGGGAAACAGGGGATTCGGACTGAGGTTAAACAGTGCCTGGACAATGCCGAGCATCTAAAAGAGAGGCTTAAAGCGATGGGAGCGAGTGTCATGCTCAACAAGGCGAGCATCATCGTGGTGTTTGAGCGTCCTCCAGAGAAGGAATTTATAAAACGCTGGCAATTATCTTGCACAGGGAACATAGCTCATATCTGTGTGATGCCTCATGTTACATCAGACAAGATTAATGAATTCGTTATTGAGCTAATTGAGAAACGTTCAACTTGGTACAAAGATGGAGGCAAGCAACCTCCTTGTGTTGCTTCTGACATAGGCAAGGAGAATTGTGTTTGCCCTCTGCATAAATGAGAAATCTGGTAGTGGGCACACCAAAAAAGTTTATTTGTGTTTGTGTTTGTGTTTTAATTTCAATTCCTGCAATGTCATTGTTGGCATATTCCCACTATTGATGGGGGTAGAGTCTTCTGTAACTTATCTTTATTACTGTGTTAGGATAGCTACATGGTTTTATTTACTCTTTCAGAGTAAAGTTTTACATGTAGCAAAAAATATGTATTTTAAGTTGCAAACTTTATTTTCAGATCAATTTGAATTCAATAAACAAAGGTTGAGCGTTTGCATGACTGATTAATTGAGTATTTGATAAGTGCATTTATTTGTACTTTTCTATATTGATTCGAACTCCTTTTTGGATGGATTTTAGGTGATTTTGGGTTTATTTTACCGAATTTATGCTAATACACATATATATATATATATATATACGGGGAGGTTCCGCTGAAAACAGGGCTTATGGTGAAAACTAAAAACAGAAAATCTCAACCATCCATTGTTACTAACAAGATCTAACGGTTTAAAAAAAAATAAAATAACGTAGAGTCACTATATATAAAAATAACATAACTGTATACAAAAATAGGGTAACTATATCAATTTTTACAACATTTGTCACTATATACAAAAATAGGGTAACTATACCAATTTTGATCCTATTCATAGAAGTCACTATATACAAAAATAGGGTAATTATATCAATTTTGACCACATTTACATAAAGGTCACTATATACAAAATAAGGTAACTATATCAATTTCGACCACATTTACAAAAATGTTACTATATACAAAAATAAGGTAACTATATCAATTTTGATAACCCCATTTGGAGGAGGAATCCAACGCCTTGGCCTGGTACGGGGGGCAGTACCTATATGTTGGGGAGGGTTCTTCAGCTTTTCTCACTCCTCTGTCCACCGTAGCACACGAGCCTTTAAGACAACAACTGGAGTTTCTTTCTCCTAGAAATTTTCACATTTCTATCTTGCCAAATCCTCCATATTAAAATCTAAAAAGAACTTACACTAACATATTTTTGCTAATAGCAGTGGACTTATAGCAATGGAACAGCTACACTACAACAAAATAAGATCAATTTCCTTCCAAAATTGCAAAGTTTCATCATATATCTCAAATCAGTACTACTGTAATACAATTTGGATATAGTGTACACCAATACTAGACAAATATGGGTTGTGACCCCTAAACTGAAGTTGGTGTTTCCTTATCTTGCTCAGTACCCTTGTCCTCATCGCTTTGGCTTCCAGCATAACCATTCCGTGACATCTTGAGCTCAGATGGAAGATTTTTCCTGGCTTTGCGGCTACCCACGATCTTCCATTGATCCCACACCTTTGTTTTTGGAGGTGGGGCAGTATCTCCAATGGGTGCAACCAAACCTGGTGTTGGAAATCTCGCTCAATCGGTGAAGGCGATTCAACCCAATCCCACTCTCCGACGACCAATTACGGAAGTCAATCACAGCTCTTCACCGATCTCATCTTCTTCGTTCACCCCTACCCCCGAACCAAACTTCGGTGATAAATCCACCCTCACAAACACCGATTGTAACCCCCACCATCCTAAATAAAAAAAAATAGCAAAATCGCAAATTAATCAAACAAAAAAAAGCAAAAACCCTAAATTGAACAAAATTGAACAAAATCGAACAAAATGGAACAGAAAATCGCAAAATCAAACAAAATCGAACAAAATTGATGAAAAAAAGTCGAAAAAATTGATGAGCAAAAGTCGCAAAATCGCACTGGAAATCGAACAAAATTGATGAACAAAACACGCAAAATCGCACAATAAATCGCACAAAATTGATGAACAATTTTAGAGAGAGAAGTTGCGTGAAGGAGAAAGAAGTGAGGGAGTGTATGTCTAATACACGAATTACTAAATCCCAAAAAAATCAAATCGAAAAATCAATTTGGTATTTCCAAAAACACGTATATAATACCAAATTAAACAAATATCATAAACGAAAACTCACTTTTTTGAAGCTATTGACGAAGATTGAACCAAATTCCTCTATAATTTGATGATGTTTAACATTGATATTGAATTGGGAAGCAGAGAGAATGAAGAAGATGGTGAACTTAAGATGGAGGAGAAAGAAAAATAGAGTAAAAAGTAGAGGAGTGGATGGATTTTCAGAAATCAAGGAACAAATCCCACGGTCAAGAATAACTATCACACGGATATAATCTCCTCCGTCAGATTAGAATTCAATGGTCTAGATTACTTGTTTTTAGTTTTCAGCCTTAGACTTGTTTTCACATGATCCACTCCCTATATATATATATATATATATATATACACAAAATGATGAAAATTAAAATCCAACAAAAAAAAAAAATCATAATTATTCCCAGCATATATATGGAAAATCATCATTTAATTTTAAAGATTGTTAAGATCATCATTAATAATAATTAATATCCTTGAAAAGCATAACTTGTTTAATTATTGGTGTATTAATATTTATGAGAATAAATAATTTTGGTTTAGTAAAACTCGTGTCAAATGTGCTTATACAAAAAAATTGTCCCCTCCGTCTTAAAATGATGTTTCTGTTTTGACTTTTGATTAGGGGATTTTTATCCACCAATCACCATCTGACAAGTGGACCAACCAGGTTCCGCCACGTGTCCTTCACAAAGGCCAACAGGAGCTTGCCACGTGTCAATCACAGATACGTCCTCCATGGACCACTTAAGACACGCCACGTGTCCGCCCATGCCAAATGGGAAAACCGGCCATCAAGGCCCAATTCAGTCTAGAGGCCCGATCAGCCCTAGGTTTACCTTAAACCTAGAGAGTTGCACGCTTCCCGAGGCTATAAATACTCGATTAATCCTCATTAATCACACGACCGAATAATTAAGAGATCAAGCAGAGAAGAACAGACTTATTAACGACCGGCTAATCTCGCTAACAACGCAGATTACCAACACTAAACACTCTCACCTAGAGAGATCTGTTTACTTTAATTTCTGTATTGATTACTCCTTAATCGGGTACTAACTTGACCGTTGGAGGCGGAGCTCTCAGGAGTCTCCGTTATTTTGCAGGTACAGGCGTCCGGTTCCAGTCTCGGAATTGTAACTCTCCCGCAGGACATCAGAAAACCCCGAAACATTTGGCGCCGTCTGTGGGGAGAGTACTTCAGAGATGGCATCCAAGTCTGTACCGATTCCAGAAGAGAGGCGTCCCCTAGACGACCCTCAAGTTCAGTCGGACCATGATACCGAAAGTGAATTTGAAGTTGAAACTCATACAGCTCCAGACGGGACCCTAAGGGCCCGACGTACCCGTCATACCGAAATGAGGGAACGGGAGTATCTTCAAACAGGAAGCGAGCCAGCAGGCGCACCGCTTGCTCGGCAACAGCCGACTGATGGGTCTGCTCCCATCACAAGGAACGAACTCATGACCTTCATGAGGGATTTCAAGGGAGAGATCCAAGAGTTGATCAACAAAAAACCGCCTGCTTCAGTCAAAGAGCAGTCGGCCAAGAAACCTTCCACTTCACTAAAGAGGAAGTCAGTTCAAGGGCGAGAGGCGACTCCCCATCCTAAATTCAAGAAGCGGGAGCCGTCTGCTCTTGATTTCACAAAACTCCGTTATCCTACGGGAAATAGGAAACCGGTTCGTCATATTCAGGCGGACGGGTCAAAGCAAACGTTCACAGATGCTCGGCACCTGCTAGAGCAGAAGAAGAGTGACCGATTATCAGAGTCGGCTTCTACTTCAAATTTTCAGGACAGTTTGCGAAATGCCTCGATGAGGCCAACTCAGTCGTACCATGAGAGTCAGTCAGGCGGCACCTCCCGTCAGTCCGACTTTCATAGTGCCCAGGCGGTACCAAACTTACCATTTGTGCCGCAACAACAGTATTTTATGCAGCCACCTCCATTTGGTGGACCTGCAGCAAAAAACGTCCAACCTATGGACTGGCAGCTACGGCTGCTTAGACTTGGTGAACAGCCGTCGGCCTTCTCCAAGGAAATTACTGAAGCCGCTCAGCCGGCCAAAGTAAAAAATATTCTAGTAGGCGCCTATGACGGCACTACTAACCCAGAAGACCATCTGATGGCATTCACCAATCTGATGTACCTTCAAGGGTTGGATGACCCCACCTGGTGCAAGTGTTTCCCAGCGACTCTCAAGGGAATCGCACAGCAATGGTTCGGCAACCTGCCGACTGGTTGTGTAAACAACTTCAGGACGCTTGCTTACTTATTTGCCTCCAATTTCGCTATGAACATCCCTGCGAAGAAAACGACCCTTGATTTGGGAACAATTCAGCAGGGCGAGAAAGAGGGGCTTCGTTCCTACATCAGGCGGTTCAACCTGATGAGAATACAGATTCAGGGGTTACCGGATGAGGTAGCTTATACTGACTTTTTTAGAGGTCTCAAAGACGGGTCTACCTTCAAATTTGATTTAGTTCGAAAAAGGGTGGCGACTCTTCAAGAGGCCTTGATTGAAGCAGAAGCCTATATACAGGCGACTGATCTGTGTACGATAAAACAGTCGGACGGGAAGAGGTTCGACAACAGAGAGGGACGACAGAAACAGTCGTCCAACAAAGATGAAAAAAGAAAAGAGGTCTGGGCGGCTGATTCCTCTAAACAGCCGGCTCAGAAAAAGAAAAAAGAATTCAAACCATACTCCCCAAAGTATGTGTTTAACAAGGATAACCAGTTTATCCTAAAAGAAATAAAGGGACGGCTCTCAATTGAGAAGCCGCTCCCCATGAAGGGTTCTGCGAGCAACCGGAACCAAGACAAAATCTGCGCTTATCATGATGACATTGGTCATCACACCAATGACTGCATCAGTCTCATGCGGTACCTAGACCGCTTGGCTGATCAAGGTGATCTTGACACTTATGTCAAGAAATCTTCGGGGAACACTTCCTCAAAAAAGCAGTCGGCCAAAAAGAATCAGCAGGCCGACAGTTCTGATACAGATGATGCAGTCGTCTACACCATTGCAGGCGGCTTCTCAGGAGGCGGCCCCACTATTAGGGGCAACAAAGATAATATAAGGCGGTTAGATGTAAATTCCGTTCACCAAGAACGACCGTCCAAATATACATTTCCTGAGATTGTCATCACTGAAGAGGATCTAGGAGGAATAAGGGGGCCGCATGACGACCCTCTCGTTATTGAATGTAAAGTGGCCAACCAGAGAGTTGGCCGAATCCTCATAGATACCGGGAGCTCCTCAGATCTTATCAGCAGCAAATGTCTGTCAAAACTGAAATATCAGACGGACTGCATACAT